AAGATCGAGAATACCATCGGGAGCAGCTGTTACCCGTACTTGTGCAGCAACCTCAGTAGGTAGACCCCGTACAAACTGCTCAGCGATAATATTAGGGCAAGCTGATGGATCAGTACCAGATAGAGTTAGGTAACGTTTCAAGTCAGAAACATAATTATCAATAGATTCACCTTGAACAAAACGTCTACTCTGGAATGCTATAAAGGCATCAGCTGGGGTCGGAGAGAAGGCAGCAGTCAACTTCTTAATAAGGCAATTAATATCCGACTTGTCCGACTTTGGCAGCTGATCATAGACAGACCATGCTGCATCTTCCAGGAACAAGGGCAAATACTGAGTCCGTTGTTCCTCCGACCAACCTTGGATCTTAGCCGCCAGACAATACTTCTGATACCACCGTTCAAAGCTCTCCGTAGCTGTGTTACCATGAAACTTCTTGATTACTTGATCCAATTTCAGAGACATCTTGTTGATAGGGGTCTGGGCACCAAAATGTACTAGAACTCAACCACTCTTCTCGTTGTAGGAGAGAGTAAAGGAGTAAAAACAAGTATGAATACAATTATTGGGAATAGGGAATCACTACTCAGCTTAGCTTCAGCTTATCGATATCTTGTCGTCACGACACAGCGCACAATCCTATATCATTCTCTCACACCGTACGCCTATACAAATGGATGATGCATCTGACTACAAACAAAACTCAAAGATGCTAATCTTGCGAAATTGGTTTATTCCAAGCAGTAACTGTTATCCTTCACAGGCCTCCCAATGGCGTCATCCTTCACTCTGTGTAACTTTTGAAGCTCTGCTGAATAACTGAAGTAGTACCACCTAATCTCCGACGATGTACCATAACAGCTCACTCTTGCACACCTGCTCTGGTTTTCACAACTTCACCGAGGTTGCCCCTAGGATCACAGATCTGAAGTTGATCGGTGACTGATAATCATTCCACTATGCCTAACATGTCTGATTCCTTGCGCCGCTGTCGATAATGGATATGACGACTCAAGTCTGATAATGTGTTCCTTGAGAAATTCGATCTCCAGAGCTTGCTCGGCCTAACAATGAAATCACTGTCGAGTTTACTCAAGAGAACATCCTCTCTTCGGTAACAGGACATAATAAAACTCCAGACTTTGATCCTATCCGCCGCCTTCGGTGCTTCCTCAAAGTCTGCGGCCTACACAAAACTCAACTCACATGCAAATTGCCATTCGACCTCTAATACAAGTTCTCCATAGAACATGTAAAAATATCCCACCTCTTGCGTCTTCTCAACTGAAAACTGAGCTGCGCCGCGAGCTCTTCCTTGAGACGGCCATCTCTTCAGTCGTTTGCGACATCCACGGCTCAAAATGGCAGAGGTCGCTTAGT